CACATGCCTTGTAAAAATTCATAAAAATGTGACTGAGCAACGGACGACTGTATCAGCGCAGATTTTCCTCGCGCTTTGGACTTTGAACCCTGGTTAACGAGCAGATAGCACGGTGAGTTCGTGCAGCGCTGTTAGAATACATGCAATGCGCGCGTGTATTAGAAAACAAAGTTCTGCAGTTTATTTACTAATTGTTTAAGACCATTTCGCAATTTCAATCATCATACAGTAACCAGCAACAATCACCCCTTCCTCTTCTCATTGAAGAGATGTGATGCAGCACTAAACAGTCTCTCGCTGTCTTTGCTTGTAATGATTTTTGCGTCTTTTTTTAGACAGTTTTAAATGCTTCCACACTGCTGACATGTTTGTTGCATTGCGCCTCTCACTCTACCGTGGTTGCTATTTGATCGCGTCACGTGATTATTGTTCAGTACAGTTTATTAGGTCTTTTCGCTTTTCGCGTCCTTTCGCCGAACACCGAAAGAGCTTTTTTTTGCTATTTTCGGCCGAATAATTTCGGTTACCGAAAATTCGGTGCATCCCTAGAAGTGAGCAGCCCTTGAAGTGTGTTCTGTTAAGGGTGTAGGGCATTATATGTCTCGTATAAGCGTTTGGAACTCCCTTGGTGAAGGGAATGACTGACCAAATGTTACCTTGACAACGCTGCACGTGCGTGCAGCATTCAGCACTCCACCAGTTGTTGCAAATATATATTTCTTCTCATTATTATAATTTTATTCAAATATTGTCTGTCTTATTTACTATTAAGCTTTTTCAAACTAAACTTGCTTGCACTACCATCTTAAATAATATTTCTGACGAAAAATATTTTGTATTACATTAAAATAAAGACAAATTTAATTAGCATATTCTACTTACGTTTGTGTTGAAATCAACTACAACTTTGCTTTAAAATGCGTCGCAAGATCTCCTAACTGAAGATCACATGATCACAAACGGAAATCACTTCCGTGAAGTGACCATCGCATGTTCCCTTCGCTAATGGACTTCTGGAAGGGCCCTTCGTGAAGGAATTCAGTTGTTCGCTTTCGTTTGGAACGTCTCTACAAATGGCGTCCCCTTCCCGAAGTGCCCTTCAATGGCGCAAAAAAGCTGTTTGGAATTCGCCCTATATATATATATATATACAATACATTATATATAGTGTTATACCTACTTTATTATTACATTTTTAGTGTGTGTATATAATGTATTTTATGTTTTAATTACTTTTAGATAATTTTTTTTATTAAATTTCACATTTTTATCATCTCAAACTCACTGATTAAAAACTCTAAAGAAAGAGCATCCTCTTAAAAAAAATGATCCTTGTGACAAAATTGGGGTTTTAGTTTATATAGCTATTATTTTTATTATTTAAATAATATTTAGACTTTTTAGAAAATAAAATGAATGCATTTTAATTAGACATTTTTATTTTAACTTTTGAAAACTCTGAAACTGAGATTAATAATACCTCATTTTTTGTTAGTACATATAAATTTTTTTTAATTACTTTTAGATAATAATATATTTTATGTTTTTAATAACTTTTGCATTTGTATCTCAAGAAGTTTGAGATTCAAAGTGCATTAATAAACGTGTTGGTATTAGCCGATATTATGACTTATCAATATCGATCTAATTAATCTGATATTGTGCACAGATCATAATAGGATTATTTAATTCAATTCAAACACTAAAATTTCTGCTCCAGGTTTCAGACATCCTGAATCTTTTCTAATGTACATTGTTGTTTTGATGCCTGATGTTGCTTGTTTAAATCTCACGACATTGTGGAAATTACAAATGCATATTTTACATTTACTAAGATGTAATTAAAATCAAAAGTGGTTCTGTTAACATTAGTTAATGCACTGTGAACAACATGAACTATGAGAAACTATGAAAAAAAAGATGCCTTGTTGTTAGTTAAAGGGGTCATATGATGCATACACAAAATAATGTTCTTTTTAGCAGCATCATATGACCCCTTTAACATTAGTTGATGCTTAAACTGTTAGAGCTTATTGTAAAATATAATTGTCTCAGTTTTCATTGTGCTTTTGCTGAATCCGTTGGAATCACTGTTGTTTTTTTGGCATCTGCTAAATGCATGAATGTGAATGTTTCCTGCGCCAGGTGTCATTTCTCGACGTTCAAGCAGTGTGAGGAGTGGCTGAAGCGCTTGAACAGAGCCATAGCACATCCGGCCCGTCTGGAGGAGCTGTTTGCGCTGGCGTATCACGCCTGGTGTTTAGGAGGAAACACGGACGATGAAGAGCAGCACCTGCATCTGTGCAGACCAGGTACACACACACACAAGCATCATATTTGATCATCAGGCTTTTATGGCTCATATAGTCTTGATAGAGTGAGAATATGAAGGAAAAAACTGCTCTTTTTTTATTCAGAGACTAGGCATGGGCCGATTACCGGTTTCAAGGTATACCGCGGTTTGAAAATGTCACGGTTTCAAATTTATGTGAAAATATGAAGTCTGTAAACTCCCGTTAGCACAGGCCAGACACGTTGAAGACGAACGCACAGAGAAAAATACTGTAGCAGGCAGATCACTCACTGTTCATGATGCACGAACTATTGGAAGAAAATCCTAAAACTAAAATTAAATAACTGTAATTACAGATTTAGGTTAAATAAAGATGTCAGTCTTTATTTTTCTTCTTTTTAGGAAACAAATCAAAGAAAAATAAACATTCTACTGTTCCTAATATTCTGTAATAATATATTCTGTAATAATGTCAATAAGCTCTGATTGCTCAAAAACAAAATATATTGTGTTCAGCAGAAAAAAGTTTTTTTTTTTTTTTGACCCAGTCATTTAAAAAGAACACATTTTAGAGCTGTAACGACAATACCGTGAAACCGTGATATTTTTGCTTAAGGTTATCATTATAAAAGTCAGGGGTGTTTCCTCCGAGTTGGCAAGGGAGGCAGTGTCTCCTCAAAATATTGGATGAGAAAAAAATTTGTAGTACAAAAATAAAACAACGCCAGTATTACCAAATATTAGGGCTGTGCAATTCAGTTTCGATTTCGATTTCTGCCTCCAATGATTATGAAAATACAGTAATCGAGATAAAATGATTATTGCGTCCCATTCCGCCACCTTTCCAGCGGTGTTCTTTCGTTCCTCCATAAAAGCCCAATTTCGATGAGATTGAAATGATCCAAACATATAATACAATGCAATCCAGTGCTGATTGAGAGATGAAGAAATAAAGGCTCCTCAGAAGATGTGAGATGTTCTGGAGGCTTGTGAAGATCATTCCACCGCTGAGGAACAGTGAAAGTAAAGCCTCTGGAAACAAACGCTCCTCAAAAGATCCTGATGATCAGATTTGAGACTCTAAAAAACGATTGATGGAGAATCAAGTAAAGCTGAGCTGCTTCAGTCCAGTAAGTGTTCATCTGGAAATATTACTGCAGTTATTCTAATGTTTCCTTGATAAAAATCAGTAAAGATTTGACAGCAGAAAGACACGAGAAGCACCAGCTGAAGGTGGACATTTGTACAATTGTACTAAAAAAACTCTATACTATCAGTCAGACGACAGAAGGCATGGAGTAGACTGAGTGCGACAGGTTTTTTTTATCATGTTGATCATAAATTTGCATATCAATTACAGTACAGTAGGCTTCGTAGGGTTAAACGCATAATTTTCAGATGCTTTATGTTCTCCAGAACTGCAGACTGATCCGAAGCCGCTGTGTTTGTGTCTCTCAGGTGATCACGTGCGGCACAGGTTGGAGGTGGAGGTGAAGCGGATGGGATTCGACATGCAGAACGCCTGGAGAGTGTCTGATATCAACAGCAACTACAAGTAAGATTGAAGCGTGATGATGATGGACTGAATCCGGCTTAAATTGATTTCACTAATATACTGAAACCTGTTGAACAGCGACTCAAGAGCCAGAAATCAATATTTCTTTTACTATTAGTATTTTACTTATTATTGATGGACTTTGCAACATTGATTCTGTTGTTGAATTAAATTGAACTAACATTGAACTAAATTGAGCTGAATATTGTCTAGGGCTGCTTATGGAAAACATCTTAATCATGGTTCTTTTGGTCAATATTGTAATCACTATTAGGAGTGGGTGATATGACTAAGTTCTTATGCAGTACCAAATATAATTCTTATACAATATCAAATAAATATAAAATATATTTAGCTGGAAATAAGGTTTTAGATACCAGCGAAATTTCACAATTATGGATACCAATTTCAAAACTAATATACTTGGTTAACTAATGCAAGTAAAAAAAGCCTCAAACAATTACTGAAGACAAGTAAACAAAGAAAATTACTAACAATACGACAAATAAAACGGACAAAAATGAAATAAAGTTTGTGGCTGCTCGATTATGGCAAAAATCATAATCACAAAAGTTATTTTGGCAAATATTGTAATCGCCATGATTTAGCACGATTAGGAGTGGGTGATTTGACCAAATTCTTATATAATATCAGATATAATTCTTATACTATATCAAATAAATATAAAATATATTTCACTGGAAATAAGGTTTTAGATACCAGTGAAATTTCACAATTCTTGATACCAATTTTCTAAACTAATACTAGGTTAACTAATGTAAACAATTATTGAACACAAGTAAACAAAGAAAATTACAAACAATAGGACAAATAAAACAGACAGCAAGATATGAATGAAATAATAATGCTTTAAGTTTTTCTTGTAAGTCTGTCTAACAGTATAATATTCAACTAATAGCCGACTACATTTGGCACAGTAATCATTTTATCTCCAATATCATGTTTTCTTAAATGTTGAAAGCCGAAATCAATGGCAAAACTTACATTTGATTCCCTGCTTTATGGCTGAATAATTGTTCATTGTCTTGTTTATTGCTGTGAAGCTGCTTTGTTTTGTGTAAAGTGCTAAATAAATAAATGTGACTTAACTTGAATATTTCAAATCTTCATAACATAACCAGACAGTGTTTTGATGTAGGTGTAGTAGGGCTGCCAAAAAAAATTCGAATTTCGAATATTAGTCGAATTTAAATAAAAATCCACATTCGAATGCAAAAACGTTGCATTTGAATTTTAGGTGTGCGTTAAGGAGGCAGCCTTATCAGTGGCACACGAGATGCGACGACGATGTAAGTGTCGTTGCATTTTAATGAGTTTTTCCCCATCCCACTGCATCTCGTGTTTTTAAATGAAAAAGTACTCTTTGTTATTGGTTTTCGGTCCTTTGTATTAAACTATACATACATTATGCTGTTTTGTTTCTAATTGTTTAAGCAACTTAATTATATATGGTTTATAAACATTATAACACATTAAACATTATGCACTTTTTTCAAAGATAGGCGTGTTATTTTATTGCTTTGAAGAAACGTGCATTAGTAATATTTTGCTCGATGCGCCCTCTTGTGGCCTCAGGAGAGAAGCCAAAAGCTTTGAGACAGAGGTGTGATTGATCTGAACATCAGGATGAAACGAGAGCGAGAAAATGACTCTTTTGTGGTTTCTGATGTTCAGATGCTTTCTTGTAAGCCAGTTTAATGATCAAAAGGTTTTAAGTTCGTTGGTTTGTGTTAGTGAATATAAAGCGCAAATATATATAAAGTACAAAAACCTGATGGGATTTGTGCGCTTTGTATTATTTAACAGACCTACTGATGCCTGTTATGATGTTAATATTATTCAAACAACAATAATGACAAGAAATAAAGAAAATAACTCACTTGAACGATTAGAAACATAAGCAGTGTTTACTTGAAAATATTTTGAAGCTACATGACATTGTTTTAATTTAACTTGGTAATACATTAATTGTCAATTAATTTTTGTTTTGTATAGCATTTTTCACAATACACATTGTTTCAAAGAAACTACAGGAAAATCATGATATCAGTGTTTTTATCTTAATATCTGTGTTTATTAAAAAGTGATGAATTACTAGTATGTGATTTTTTTTTTTTAATTTAAAACAATTACATTGTTTCTTTTATTTAAAACTAAATTTTAATATATTGTTTTATTTATATATTTATATTGTTTACATGTTGTATGTGTGTTATATATATGAAGGAGGTTGTATAATTGCTGTATTTTTTACTATATTTTTTGTAAGAATATTGTTAAATTATTGCATATAATTTTCTTTAATCATTGAAGTTTTCTTGTTGTTATTATTATTATATTACTTTATGAAGTTATTAATTTCTACTACTCGGTTTGCAACGAGAATAGCCTTTGCTGATAATATGGTAATAAATAAATATTGATATTAATATTTATATTTTAGTTTTTTATTTATTTGTGTATAAAGGCATATTTTAAAATCTGTCTAAATATATCAAATATCAAACTGAAGCACCTTATGATAGTGCTGTATTTATTAATATATTTGTTGTTAGAATATTGTTAAATTGTTGCATATAATATATTTATTGGTATTATGATGTTATTATATTGTTATATATTACTTCCTAGTATGTTTTGCAATGGCAAGACCCTTTGCTGCTGGTATGGTGTTAAATAATAATATTAATTAATAAACAAATTCAACTTTAACGCTAGTTGTGTTTATGTCTGTGAGTTTCAGCGTCTAACTCTTGTCGTTGTAGGTTGTGTTCGAGTTACCCACAAAAACTGCTGGTGCCCGTCTGGATCACAGATAAGGAGCTGGAGAGCGTGGCCTCCTTCAGGTCCTGGAAGAGGATTCCTGTGGTGGTGTACAGGTGAGAGAAGCAGCTCGTCTGTCTCCTGGCCTCCTGCACAGCTGACAGTGACTTATGATCTCTGCGGTGTGTACCGTCAGGCACCAGCGTAACGGGGCAGTCATCACCCGCTGCAGTCAGCCGGAGATCAGCTGGTGGGGCTGGAGGAACACCGAGGACGAGTATCTGGTGACGTCTATAGCGAAGGCCTGCCAGCTGGACGCCGGGCCGCGGGCCTGCAGGACCAGAGGAGACGGACCGGACTCTTCTGACAGTGACTTCGGTAAGACAAAACTCAGACCGAGGACTTGAAAGTGCTTTTGATATTTTATACTCTGAAATGCATTAAATGCAAAAGCCCTCTATGACTTTAGTAACTAGACATCTCATTATTTGACAGTGAAAACATGTTTAGGGCCCTATGAAATCTGTTTTTTGTTTTTTTTCCCCAAAACTTTTTTTTCTGGATTCAGTTTTTTCCCATTTGAATTTTCATTCTATTTTTCATTTTAAGTTATTAAACATTTAACAAAAAATAAATTTTCACAGTCCTATGAAATCAGTTTTATTTTTTTTCCAGAATTCCATTTTATTCTTTTCCAAAGCATTTTCCCAATTTGTTTTGTATTCGTTTTCATTTTAATCATTTTTAAATAATTTTACATTTTAGATTAAATTTTTGTTATCAAAAAGCATGTCTTATTAATTGAAATCATAACAAAAATATAAAAATACCAAAAGAAAATAACAGAGAATTCTGTTTTATTTTTTTTTCTTCAAATTCCGTTTATCCCATTTTAATTTTTCCACATTTCCATTTTATTTCCATTTTAATGGTTAAATTAAATTTTAGTTATCAAAAATTTTATTAATGAAACTTATACAATTTAGCAATTTATTAAACGTTATTCATTGAAATTTGGTTTTATTTTTTTCCAAATTCAGTTTTTTTTTTTTAATTTAAATCTTTCTGGATACTGTTTTAATGCCATTTTAATGGTTGAATTAAATTGTAGTTATCAAAAAGCATGCCTAATGAATTGAAATCATGCATTTTATACAATTTAACAATAATTTATAAAAAGTTTAATTAATACGACATTTTTAGGGCCCTATGAAATCAGTTTTTTTTTTTTCCAGATTCTGTTACACAGTGCTCACATTCTCCCTCTTGTTCACTGTTGTCGTTAACAGCTCTGTCTAAATATGGATAGAAGTCGGTCTAATAATCAGATAGAACGGTTCAACAAAGGAATTAAAATGTATACAAAAAGTCTTATAACGATTGCTTTTATGTTATTAGTAATAGAATGGAAAACATTATAATACTTTCTTGTTTGCCGTCAGCATTTGTATCATTTAAACCAATCTTTGAATGTCTAATAAACATCTAATTTCAAAAACCTTGCAAACTTAGTCGGATCCAGTTGTGAGATCTTGTGAAGTGTGCATGTGTATCCTGCATGATCGCGTGTTCTCTGCGTG